GCATCAGCTTTAGGAATATCTTTAATTGCATCTGCAAGGTTAAAAACCACCAAGACCCTTAGGTTTGATAAATGGGAAAAGTTGAAGTGTCCCCTGTAAGAACCCTGTACGATAACACTATGGTGAAGTTTTTCTAGGAGAGGGAAATCATGGAAAAAAGGCCTAGAGGTATTACAGGAAAAAATGAATCCTGACAAATGAAGTTCCTTTACTTTGGGGAAAGAGGGCGATTTGCATGAGTCCACTTCAAGCTGATTACACTTGAGTGTTAATTTCTCCAAAGTGGAAAACATCTCCATGCTTTGTCTTCTAAATCTAATTCTGGATTTGGATAGAAGTTCAAGACTTTCAAGGCCAGGGATTGAAAAGCCCACATCCAGGTCACCATAATTTATAAAACCAAATTGTAGTTCTCTGAGCATATTGAGACCTTGAGAGAAGTATGTTGTCAGCACTTCAATTGGGTTATGCCTTAGGTTCAAGAAGGCCAACGTGGAGAGGGAAGAAAAGGAATGATTTGTCAAATGAATAATGTAGTTGTCTTCCAGATTGAGTACCTTAAGTTGATGAAGTCCAGAAAATGCCATTGAATCAATCCTTTTAATATTGCTGGCATAGAGTAAGAGCTCCTGTAAATATGGCAGGCAGGAAAAGGCGTAGGCTTGGAGGTTGCTGACATTATTTCCTGAGAAATTCATAATCTGCAGCTTAGAGGTGAAATTCATCCTCTTATACACTGGTGGGCACAGGCCCCAGTGGAGGTTATTTAGAGAAAGATCTAAAAGCTGGAGCTGGGGCATTTTGTATAGAATCAAAGAATCTACATATTCTAGTTGGTTCCGCACAAGTGCTAATTTCTCCAGAGAGCGACAGGCATCATACTTTACAGCATCAAAGGTTTTGAAAAATATCTGGGACAGTGACAGAGAACGGAGGGAGAAACGGGAAGCCAAATCACAGACTGGGAAGGTCTGGCTCTTGAACCTTGGGTTGGTGTTTTCCAGTGAAAGGGAGTCAAGTTTTTCTATTTCTAATGCTAATATTAGGATCTCACCCAGAGTCATAGGGGAAAAGCTCCATCTTAGGTTCTGGAGAAAACATCTGTTTTGGCCTTCAGGACTCTTTCCCTCTTTCTGAGACCATGAGGTAGGGACAGCAGGAGCCAAGCTGCTAGGATGCTGCTTTTGAGACAAAGAGGAAGAAAAAGAATCTGGCATGAGTTGCTTTACAGACCCTCGTGGTGATGACTTCAATGAGAGGAAGAAGTGGAGCAGCTCCAAAACGTGTTTCAAGCTGCATCTAGAAACAGAGAGCAGTTGGAGTTGATGAGACAGTGTTATATCTCCTCCTGTGGGACTGACATCACTTAGGACCAGAGTTTGAAGGGAGGGCATAGGGAAGAAGGTTTCACAAATGTCGATGAGTTTGGAACAAGACTGAAGATTCTGGAATACGATGAAAAGGTACTGCAATTTATTCAAGTCTATGAAAGCCCTGGGTGAGATAGCAACATCCTTCTTTATCATGAGTCTCAGATAGTGGAGTTCTGGAAAAGCTTGGAAGGTTTGAGCTTCTAAGACTTTAATGTCCCCTGAGAGACAGAGTGCTTCAACCTCCTTGGGGACGGTGATGATGTCTTCTGGCAAGGAACATACATTCTGGCAGTTCACTATCAGCCTGGTGCTATTAGGTGGAGAGCAGCTGGGAAAGCGACGCACCACATAAGGCATCAGTGACCCTTCAATGGTATAGCATTTTAGGTTCATCCAAGCAAGAGAGAAAGGTTGTCCCAAGGAAAAAAGCATCAAGATGGCCAGCATTGTTCCTCTCTGTTGCATTGGCCTCCTTTCCACAGCTGAAGAGTTTGGATCACCTTAGAGGTGCCAAGTAACCTGGCAAAGAAAAACAAACAGTTTGAGTTCACTTTGTTCAGCATCATCACCACCACCATCATCATTAGTCATCTTTCCTCTATGAAAGCTTGTCTGCCATTAGATTCCATTGGGAATCTAATCAGCTTTCAAAGAAGCCCAGGAGGTCTCTGTTCTTTTGAACACAGTTTGAAATTTAATAGTTTAGCACTTGAGTGGGGGATGTTTCATTCTGGGCAACCTTCCAAGGACCAGTGATGGGTGGGGCAACTAATGTAAATTTTAACCTTTGTACAGTCGGCTAGTTTAACACACACACCTGCCAACAGCTCTATCCTTCATCCAGACAAGCAAGAGGCATTGCAGACCCACTCACAGCACCCCACACTGAATGTGAGTGAAGGCAACAATACATTTAAACAAATGGGACAAGACAATGTACCATACTTGGGTGAAGTCGGCTTATATTTCCAGGGGGTGGACCAGAATGAAGACTTCCACACTCTGGTCCACTGCCCAGGCTCTGCCCCCCAACCTACTCCTGATTGGGCAGTTCACATTTGTTGTTGGTGAGCTATACTGCCATTCATAGCAGCTGACCAGAGGAGGACCCAATGGCCAGCTGCTACAAAGAGGCTGCAACCACCGCTCACCTTTGATTCAGGTAAGCGGCTATTATCAGAGCCCAAGAACAATCCTAGCCAGGCAAAAGCCTTGTGAAGCAGAGCCAATGAAGGGTGTGGCCTGGAGAGAGTTTTAAGTACCAGATAGGGAGGAGTTTTAAGTACCAGATAGTTCCAAGGGCATCTCTACCTAGATTTGAGTACCTTTGGGTGAGAGAACACAGGCATTTTTGTAATATTTACAATGTTTCAGTGCTTGGAGCACTTTCTTTTTTATTTACCAATGTATGGAAAATGTATACAGTAATTGGAAGCCAAGAATCACAAGGCAGAAGATCCCTGAGGATCCCTTCAAGGCAGCCTTCCAGGTTGCACCCCGCCCCGCCCCCAGTCTTAACTGACTCCAAATACAAACTCTGTACACATAGTCTCCCTCTTTCAAAACTGCAAAATGAAAAAGAGAAACTATTTCTTCACAAACAAATGCCTTACATCTTCCCCATTCTCAGAGCTGGAGAGGTGTAATTTTCCCAAGTTCTAGTAATGCTCTTTAAAACACAAAAAATTGTTTCTATACTAAAGCCCCTCAGTGCTGCTGAGACATTGCTTTCCCATAATTACATGGGTGAAATTAAAAGTTCTACACAGCTCAAAGTAATATTACATTTTATTCATCAACACGCATCCCTTTCCACACAATTAAAAAAACCTTCTATAATATTCACAGTTAAGTCCTGGTTGGCAGATCCCCTTTCTGGTCCTAATTGCAAATGGGCTGACTGCAAGTCCTTTTCATTTTAACTCTTTCTCTTGATCATAGCCATGAGATTGGTAAATGTCCTTTCAGTTGCATCTTCAATAGTCTTTCTTAAAGCTCATCAGCTTTTCTGTGGAAAGCCACTGCATACCACTGAACTGCAGCAAACCAAGCTTTCTTGGGATTGACATTTGCTTCAATCTAGAGGTAAACAGTGGGTTTTCCAGAGGAAAGCAGTGGGGCAAATGGAAAATCAGTCAGACCCATGCCCAGAAATATGGGATAAATGAAGAACTGCTTGGACCCACACTTTCTAGGCATGGGATAAGCAGAAGAGTGGACAAACCCTTAGTTGTCCCAGCACCAGTTTCTGTTCCCCTATGAAGGGTGGAAGTTTCAACTGCTCATTTATTCTCTCTCTCTTTTTGTAATAGTGAAATTGTACTATTTTGTTACAAACAGAAAGAAACATATGCAAGGAAACCAGTAACTGATTCATTACAGATCAGGAGAAAGCAGAAATCAATGAAATGGGTGAGACCTGCACATGGGATATTTAGAATTAAAGGCACGGGAGTTCTAAAAATCCTCAACAGCAGTTGGTCCTGCAATTGTGTTTTCTTGCAGAACAACACTGTCACTAATTGCATTTGAAAAAGAATATTCCATACAGGAAAACACTAGACATCAACACTATGGCAGTGACACTGTTCAGATGTTCCATAAAAAATGCATAAACAAAGGATGGTGGTTCCAGTAATGTAGAAGCAACTGTCAGTCCTCAAATATCTCCTTATCATTAGCTCCCGTTGAGGAAAGCAGTCAAGCAACCATCCTGGGGCACTGAACCATAATCTTCCTTTAGAAAGAGAAATGAGCAGCCAGAAGCAGCAAAAGTGCTTTTCCAGCGATCTCTCCTCCAAAGGAAACGGCTTGCTCATGAAACTTCCTGCTCCTTAGGAAAGTGGGTGTCTAAATAGGTCCAGAGTGACAGCCACAGTACATAACTTCTTTCAGGGTCACCCAGAAGTCCTCCTTTGGGACCTCAGAAAGGGCAAGGGAAGTTCTGGTATTGCCTCATACATCTTCCAGAATCTAATGACTTATTCCCAGTTCCGTCCCTAAGCCATACATACCACTGCAAAGAAGCTCTTCCTTTATATCGAGGCTTCCTTCAACACCACTCTTTCATCTCAGAGTGTTTTCCCACAGCTTGCTTACATGCAAAGCCCATGTCAACCCATCCCTAACCCTTTGCTCCCATCTGGCCGTACTGTCCAAGCCCAAGTTATAGAGCATTGTTCTTCACCAAGCTTTTCCACCCTTTCTATTCTATAACAGTTCCTAGCTGAATGCCCCATGAGATCTGTCCAAATGACAACCTGTGGTGTGCGGGGATTCCCATCCACAAGTGTGCAAGAGCATTGTTCATAAGTCACTTACCTCTAAGCAGCAACATGCAAAGACGCTTCATGTAGTTGTGGTTTGCAAAGGAAAAACACATAAAAAGGCTTCTTCTAGATGAGGAAGTAGGAAAGGCACAATTCTAGTAAGTTCTCACTTCTGCATAGAGTTCCAGTTTTTAAATTACTGCCTTAACTTGCATGTGAAAGTTGCATGCAGCTTTGTAGTAAGAGTGAAAGAGGAATTGTGTCCTGAAGTGGAGTAGTGAGTAGCGAGATCTGCTATACCCTTTGTAACTAAGTTTATCCAGAGGAGATACTACTTGTATGAGACTTAGGGAGAGAAGTTAGCTTGAGGAGCAAGGAAAGAAATACTGGAAAAGAGAATGGCTAAACATGCAGTTCTAGCACCAGGATGGCGAAGCAAAGAGGTACTGCTAACTGGCTTTTTTCTCCCTTTTTCTCTAGGTTAGTTTTCAATGGGCTTATAATTTCATAGCAATGTATTCTATGCAACCTGGAGAACCCACACAGATAAAAGCTGACTTTTCCCCATTTGAATGGGTATTGTTAGAGGGTTCAAATGAACATGTTAGAGGTAAAGGACATCATGGTGTGATTTTCAGGAGAGGAGTGTGTCTTTGTCTCTGTGTGCATATGGTATGGTCTGTATGGTGACAATGCCACGGAACAATAGTTGCTCATCTCCTGCTGGGTCATATTTCAAAATGATTCTAGGATGTGCACCAAGTGATTAGACCAGGGACAGGATTCAAGCCGTGTCTCATACACACAGTGTCTGAGGTGCCTCAACCGCTTCAGTTATTCACCCAAACCCACCAAATTATCACCACTTTGTCAATGAGTAACTGAAAAAGAAGGGGCAAAGCAACAGGTTCTCCAGTTTCCTATTTGAGTGTTCAGGCCCACATAATGTTAATTGCATGAGCCAAGAGAGCTGGTCCACACATATTCATCCCACCTCCACATCGCAGGTCATGAGTTTGGTAGGTTGCACCTACCAAATGCATAAACAGTACTGAAGAGGGGCAGGGCTGTCTTTACCCAGGGGTGCAAGGGGTGCGGGGCTCCTGGGTGCCGAATTCAGGGGGGCGCCAGGCATCTGTCGCTGAAGCCGCCTAAGCTCTTAACTATCTACCTGTTATGAAATAATAAAGAATTTTAATCAAGCTAGAAAAACAGAATACATATATTCCTAGGCATTACCGAAATGTATACCTGCTTTTTCACTAAAGGACATTTGACTTTGTGCGCTCATTTACCAAAGATGCGCCACGCCAGCGGCGGCGCTTGTCATTCACAACGGCGCGCTTGTCAGACTCAATGATAGCGCTTGTCATTCTCAACAGTGCTGTGCACGCAAAATTAACTAAATTTGGGGGCGCTGGGCGGATCTGTGCACCCCGGTGGCACATATGCTAAAGACGGCCCTGAAGATGGGTCAGCTCAGGACACAATGTGGGAGCAGGCTGAGCACAGCCACACTCCCATGGTTCATACAACTGACATTTTGTGGGCCTTCACATACAAAGAGAGTTCCTGCGAAGCAGGGATAGGGAAGCTGTGGCCCTCCAGATATTGTTGGAGTACAGGTCCTATCCCTGACAATTGGCCATGCTAGCTGAGGCTAATGAGAGTTGAGCAATGCTCAACAGTGCCCTACACTGTCATTCTAATATATTCACTTGCTTTTAACTATTTAGGGTTACATTGCTTTTTCATACATGCAGGACCAAATTTGTGTATAAGATAGAAACCATATATTTTATAAGGCTGTACCAGTGTTTTTCTACTACCTAATGAACTCTTTATAGCTGTGGTGGGTGTTTTAATGCTGGTCTTAGACTTTAAATATGGGCCATCAGGAAAGAAAGTCTTGACATTCATGCCACATGGGGTAAACACAGTGCTGCCTTATAGACATCAACAAAGATGTCCTGAATTGTGTGAGGAAGTTGCCTTTCTGTGCATAACTTTACATGAAGCTGTACAGGAGAACCTGTCCATTTATTCACCTATACAAATAACTCATGGCAGAATTAAAGATGTATTGAGATGTCTATTGCTAGAAGCAGCAGCCACCAGGTACTGAGGAAACTTCAGGAGCAAGGGCAAAACGGCTTCCCTCAATAATTAAGGGATGCTAATACAAGGTCTGGGGTGCTCTGGTCCATGGGGTCATGAAGAGTCGGACACGACTAAATGACTAAACAACAACAGTACAAGGTCAGTTATTCCCCAAACTTTAAAGAAAGAAAATTGGGGTGCAAAGACCAACGTAAATGTTGTTTTCATGGAGCCAAGTTGTAACAAGTACAATATATAAAACTGTGGTACATATTTAATGTTTCCATGTTACATAAGATGGGCACCTTAATCTCAAATTCCCATGTTTTTTGATACATGAGTGAATTTGTATGCACCTGATCTCTAATATTAATCCAAATGTATACATATTAATTCAAGACTTTTAAAAGGCTTCAGAATAAAGTGAAGTGAGTAGACCAACTGATAAGAGTATGACAACACTCCACATATAAAATAGTTTCAAGCACTTACCTGCCCTAGCAAAGAGATTCTGGGAACTGTATTTCTTCTTTGAAGAGATGCAGAAGCTTTAGCAAAGCCTTCACTTAGCATTCATTCCAAAATTCAGTTCCAGAGTTCATTGTGGGAATTATCATGATAACTAAATAGGCTTTAAACGAGTGTCAAGATTTTTAATGTTGCTGACATTACATTAGAGATGTGTATAAAAAGTGTGCCTCTGTGAAAAGATTCCCTGCATTCCCCAATGCGAATTGCAGAATACCAGGTACCAGTGTCTGCATGTCAAACAGTAGGCGGTTTTGATCACCGCAAGTACCTCTTTAAAAAAACCAAACAGTGATCACTAGATGGACAATGTATGATTCCCAAATATCTTTCAGAGAGATGGAAGCCCTTTTCAGAGGAGCTGCTGGAATAAATTGGAAGCAAGAAGAGTGGCCAGCATCTTCCTGCTCTTCCTGTTTCTGAGCCCACCTTTCTGCAAGGCGACGCTCACCAGCAAATGTCAGATCACTGAGGGCTGGCTACGACCACACACATCTGAACCCCTATCCCTCTGTCTCTCTGCTTCAGATGCGGGTTTGGTTGCATTCTGTAGCAATGTCACCTCCTTGCAAGAAGATCTGGCTACTGTTCCTGAGCTGGTGAGTGCCCTTTGTCTCTCCGGGAGTGTTGTCATTTATGAACGAGCTTTCTCGTCTTTTCCAGAACTTAATCACCTGAGCATCAACTTGAAGGCACCTGTTATCTCACCCAGGGCTTTCCTGGGCCTGGACAAGCTACAATACTTATCAATCCACCACTCAGATACAGGCTGCAGCAACAGCTCCATCCCAACTCAAGCCTTCCACCAATTAGAGCAACTGCAGACTTTGAACATGAAGGGCATCTATCTCACAGGACAGCGAGGGATAAATCTTCCAAGTCACTTAAAATTGCTTTCCATTTCTGGATGCTGCTTAGACCAATTTTCAGAGCTGTTCAGCATTTTCCCATCTTTGCAGTCAGTGCCTCACGTGTCTGTAGATAACTGTGAAATAGGGAGGTTTCCCCACTCTTTGTATCTGAGGCAACATCCTAACTTCTCAAGCTCTAGGGTCCCATCTTCTCAATCACAGGAAAGAACGGGTCTTTATTCTCAGAACAAAAGCTCACTTCAGTCCCTGGTGCTGAGCCATTTCCCTCTGGCACTCAGTGAGCTTCTATCCTTAGAAATAAAAGAACTTGATGCACTTTCGTTGGAGAAGACACACCACATGCATGAGAACCAGACTTTTCAGGTCTGTGCTCTGGCCTCCCGTTTCTCCCTCCGATCTCTGTCATTTTCATTGAATTACTACAAAAACTTCAACAGTGAAGAGCTTCCTGGCTGCTACTCTGTGGAGAATTTGGTACTTGAGGATAATAAAATGGAGCAAGTAGATCCCTTGCTTTTGTATAAGCTCTTCTATCTCCAGCTGTTAGATCTTTCTGGAAATAATCTTTACTGGAACCTTTGCCCACTGGAGTATGAGAAGATGAACTTTAACTCCCGGCTGAGGATTCTTGATTTCTCTGGTAACAGATTTAAAAGTCCCCAATCTACTGTATTCTCCTGCCTGCCATACTTAGAGACACTCTCACTCAATGACTGTGGGTTTGAGAACATTCCAGTATCTGCCTTCTCTAGACTTGGCCAACTTAAGGTTTTAAATCTGAGAAACAATCGATTACGCAACCTTGCAAATGCCTCTTTCTATAAACTGTCCAGCCTGGTTTCCTTAGACTTGTGTGGCAATCCCATCACACAGTTTGAAAGTGATTCATTCCAGGGTTTGACTTTTTTAAGAGAACTCCAAATAGGCTTTCCATATTTTCAGGAAGGGGAAGAAACCCTGAGATTCTCAGCGAAAAATGTAGAAAGTCTTGCATTGCAAAATTTTTCATCAATTGCCTTATACAATCCGCCACAGTCTGACTTTGCTTCAGTGCAGAATATGACTCTAAGTGGCTGCTTTGAATTTTACAACTTGTCTCATAACACATTTTTCCCCAATGTGTGATTGATGCATTGGGAGCCAGCTTTGGAATGTGTTTCTTCTAAGCCCCTCCATCTGCTTTTCCCTGTGCTGGAGCAGCTTGTTTATAAGTATAAGTTAGAAGCAAGATATACTGAATGGAATTTCAACATGTCACATCTGTCCAAGCTGCAACTGCTTGAGGTGCACAACCTGCCTGAAGTACCTTACGGTTCCTCTGCGCCAGAGATGCAGTCCCTCTTCATGGATCTGCCCCAGGTGGAGGCCCTGAGAATGGTGAACAGCAACATCAGGTACATCTCAGCAAAGTTCTTCAGAAGAAAGTGCAAACTCAAGCAACTCGTGCTAGAGAAGGAGGCCTTCCTGGAACTTGACAGTGACATTCAGGATCAAATACTGGGACAAATGCCTCTCCGCTACTTGCATTTTTCCAGTGTCACCTTCAGGTGTGACTGCTCAAGTGCCTGGCTCATTGACTGGGCCATCAGAAGGAAAGAGATTTATGTATTTGGGCTGGAGCATGCAGACTGTCTGGATGTCCAAAGGAGAGAAAAGAAAGGCAACTATCTGTCTTTCATAGAGCAGAACTGTAGTCAGGATGTTGGCTTCCTCCTTTTTGTTTCAACCTCCTCGGTGCTGTTCCTCCTTATTTCACTCCCTATCCTGAAAGCCACTTGCGGCTCAGAGCTTCTTTTCCTGATCTACATCCTGAGAGCATGGTGGCATGGGCTGTTGAATAACAGAAAAGGCCAGAGATTTGAGTATGATGCTTTTGTGTCCTACAGCAGTCAGGACCAGGAGTGGGTGTTGCAGCACTTGGTGCCCAATCTGGAGCAGAAGGGACCCCCCTTCCTGAAGCTCTGTCTCCACAACCGGGACTTTGTGGTGGGCAAGGCCATTGTGGACAATATCATGGAGAGTCTTTACAGCAGCTACAAGACCATCTGTGTTATCAGCCACCATGCCCTCAACAGCTCCTGGTGTTCTCTGGAGATGACCCTGGCCACATACCGTCTTGTGGCTGAGCAAGAGGATACGTTGATCCTGTTGTTCATGGAGCACATCTCCAGATACCGTCTCTCAGCCTATCATCATCTGGCAAAGCTGGTGAAGAGGAAGGCGTATCTAGACTGGCCTCAGGAGCCAGCTGCCCAGGCTGCCTTTTGGGATAGGTTGAGGAAGATACTGAAGCAACACAGTGGTGGGGAGGAACCAAAGCTTTAAGCATTCTGTGCTGTCCAACTTGGCTATGCAGTGAGCATCCAATAAACTTCTGCCCAACGAGATTTATTTCTTATCTTGCAAAATAATTAGTTGTGAAAAGATGTAGGCAAGCTTAATGGAGTCTTGACCAGAGAAACCAAGAGAGTTCACATACAGACACAAACACTGCTAAATCTTGTTCCCACATAACGTTTTTGTTTACTCGGATGTGTCCTATTTCTATGTAAATGAAAGAATGTTATATCATGGATAGCATTATTGTCAAATATTTTCCTGCTTGTGTGTAATGTACACAAACTCTGAGGTCTAACCTACACAAACACTGCATTACACTTGAGTGTGCAGAAGCATCATAGAATTAAGCCTTCTTTCTTGGCAACAATTTTATTACAGAAATTTCATCAACCATACAGTACAATAAATATACATATAATATCCTGCATAATTCATTATTTTAACAAGCCAAACCGTTTTTTCCTGCATTCACCATATTTAAAAAATCCATATATTTACTCTCAGGTCTTGGTCTGCTGGAAACATAAAGCATTCTGGTTTCTTTGCTTTTAAAGTCCTTTGGTACAGCTGACGTATTGCTTTTTCTCTAAATAGTTGAAAGGGTAATTAAAATGGAGTTTCCAGCATATCAATATAGCACTATATCATGCAGCAACACCCTTCCTTTGTGGCCAAGATCCTCATATAATATTTACCCCCAAGAAAGTCCCATTCAGTTAAAAGTTTGTTACTTGCAGTTCAGCTTGTTCAATTGCTTCCTATTAATTGCACCTGGGAGATGAATGATCACCCCGTGAATAGTCTCTCAGAATTGCTCCACTGACAATTTCTGTTTCTGAGGAAAGATGTTTTGATTACTGATCTCTTTTCTTTTCTTTACTGGTGAAACAGCACTATTTGGAGAGTGGGAATAAATATAACAGAAGGAAACTAGTAATTAAAGCAATAACAGAAACTGACATTTGGGTAATTCTGAATGGTAAATTAAAGAGGCAATTAATAGGTTATTTAGCACCAATCCCCTAATCAGGGGGCAAAACAAGATCTGAAAAGAGGAACTGCTGAAACTTTAAGCCTTAAATTTATAGGGATATGTTTCATCTCCCTGTAGCCTTCAGTTTAGTCTGCCATAAGTAAAAAAGCCAAGCTGTTCACTGACACTGCTTTAAAGATCCTCTTGACAAAGAAGAACCTACAGCTGTTTTTGGACTATGTGAAGTTAAGGACAGCATTTCCATCCACACTACTCTAGTGCTGGAGCTCTAAATAGCAGCCATGGGAATCTTGTGGGAGATAGCAGCAAAACCTAACAAACACATATTCTTGCTGAGTTAGCATGAGAAGGGGCTATGTCCACAGAGCTGTATTGCTGACAGATACTCAGACCACCAAATTAAAATTGGCAGCGAGGGCTCTGTGTTATGTCATTCCCCGCCCCCAGTGGCGTAGCGTGGGTTGTCAGCACCCGGGGCAAGGCAAGTAATTTGCGCCCCCTAACCCGTGGATTTGCGCCCCCTAACCTGTGGATTTGCCCTAACCCCAGATGTTGCGCCCGGTGCGGCCGCCCCCCCTGCACCCCCCACACTACGCCACTGCCCCCCCCTCTCCTGGAGAGGAAGGAGCATGCAGTACTTCCTGTTCCTCTCTCTCCCTTTGACAGCCATGGATGCAGATATGCCTCTACTTACTCCAGCTTTAGGTGCATAACTGAAGATGTTTATACTACAAATGTATTTTGCTTGCATAGTTTTTACTGCTACCATTGCTTGAACCAATGCTAGATTATAAGTAAACAAGCTATAGTTTTTAACTTACTTTCCGAGTTGTTGCCCAATCTTTATTGAGCAGGGTAAGAAAGGAGAGCCAACTTACTTCATAGCTGGACTTGCTAAAAATAAGGTTTTACAGTCTAATTCCTATTCTTTTAATTGTTCAGTTTGGGGTGGGGTTTTAAAACTCTGTTCACCCCATACACATGGCCTAGAGGGATAAAGTGCAATTAATATATCCTCTCCTACCCACTAAAACCTATCCTATACTTCTCTCTGATCTTAATGCTAGCCATCACAGTGCTAAGGCTGGATATGAGCCTTCTGCTTGCTCTTTAAGATTAAAACTCAGCATTTCCCCACCCTAGGACTGGACTGAGGGGTGGGCATGTTGCCTTTTACTCTTAAATATCAGGTAGAGGGATAATCTCCAGTCTCAGCACTGTGGTGTTGAGCATTAAGATCAGGGAGAAATGATTCCTATGACTGCTCTCCAGATATCCCCTCTAAAGGGATGCCAGAGGGATCTTTTATCTCTCCATAGGTGGATCTAAAGAGAAGGAAGAGGAATTTTATGCCTCAATCTGGAGATTTAAGTGCCCCATCTGCTCCTTAAAGAGCAGGCGAGATTTCCAAATCAGGTTGTGGACTTGAAGGCCTGGTGGTCCTGAGTTAGCCATCCCTGTTTTAAAGGTACAGGAGCTGTGAGAAGCTGGAACAGAACTCTGCTTGTTCCTCATGGGCAGGCTGGTCCAGCGATCATATTTTATTTCTTTAAAATTGTCATAATTGTCTAAAAAAATCATGGTGAGATGATACAGAAAATTCTGGACTGCAACACCTTAATAATGACATTGCCTAGATGCTCCACAAAAAGTAAGTGAACAAAGGAAGGCATCTCCAGCTAATCCAGCTAAAGAGGAAGCAACCGTTATCTTCTCTAGTGATGTTCCTGCTATTGAAATAAAGGTTGTTCTGCTGATACCATTGCTACCCAACTACACACTATCTCTCTGGCAGGGAGTAGATCACCCATTACTGACTAGCTAGTTCTATCCAACCTGACCAATAGCAGAGATGGCATTATACTGAACAAACTACTGCTAAGTCTTATTTCCCTTACTTGGGTCTTTCAACTCATTTCAGCATGTTCATGGAAGAGGATTATCTAAAATCAGGGCTGGAGCCCAGGCTCAGTTAGCCATGAGGCTTCCTGTGGACTGGGATTGCTTCCAGGGCTATGACCATTCTGAATGGTGTGGGTTTTCTCACAGAGAATTAGCTCAGGCAGTATTTCCCCTGGACAATTCTCCTGAGATCTATTGCCCAGGTTAGTATTGCCCCCAATAGGGTCATTGAGGAAGGCACCTGAATCCATTGTATTCAGAGGTTCATCTTGAGGACTCTGTGTCCCTCCACAGCTGTCCACCCGCCAAGGCAGAGCTAAGTACTTGTGCACTTCAACAGCAGGACTGCGGCGGTTAGGGTCAATGGCCATTAGGCGGCGGAACAGACCCAAGAGATGGGTGGTAAAGCCTCTCCACAGGGCTGGAGCCTCCCCTGGCACCGTGCGGTTCTGCCAGATGCCAAATTCCTCAAACTGGGGGTCAGGGCTCATGGCCACATCCCAAGGGAAGCAACCTGTACAAATACAGAACAGTAGCACGCCAAAGGCCCAGACATCCAGGCTGGGGTCTAGAGCCAAAGTCTCGGTGCCTTCCAAAAGGCACAATTCAGGTGGGGAGTAGGGTAGAGTGCCAGACATAGCAGCCACTTGTGTGCCTTCCACTCGTGTGAGGCCGAAGTCTCCCAGTTTCACCTGACGACACTCTTTGTCAAAAAGCATCACATTGTCCAGCTTTATGTCCCGGTGCACCAAGCCTTTGCCATGCATGAAATCCAACGCCTCGGCCAGTTGGGCTGCACACCGCTTCACCTGTACCTCAGGAAGGCCCTCCTGTTGAGAAAGAGAAAAGAGAGCAGGGGGTAAAGATGAGCAGTACCTCTTGAAAAGGATTACCCTCCAGCCTCCATCTTTCAGAGGAATGGGACCAGTTTGGAAGCACCAGTCGTTGAGTCAAGTGCAAATGGACCTTTCATTGAAAGAAGATAACTGTAGATGTAATTGCCTGGCTAGTGGTACCTATGATGTCACCTAGACACCTCCCCCCCCCAATCCTTAGAACAGTTTTGCTATATTATTATCATCAGCTGCTTAACACTGGAACACTGAAGGCCAAGGATAAACATAAAAATGGGGAAAGGTACTGTGGCACTTTAAAGAACAAAAAGGTGGCCAGTTGAACCAGCATTTAATTAATATGCTAGGCTGCAATGTTTCCCAAACTTGTGTCTCCCTAGCTAACAGGACCAGTGGTCAGGGATGGTGAAAACAGCTGGAGATCCAAGTTTTGACAACAATGTGCTAGGGTGTGTTTCAGCCATTCATATTAGAGCCAGGAGGAAGCTAGAGCTACACTGCAGGCTCACTCTGAGTTTTAGATTACAATTGCTTGCATGTTTAATCTTTCCCTATACACAAAATAAATCCTACTTTCCCACCTGTGTTGAGACTCTCCCATTTGTAGGCCCCACAAAGTTTCCATCCCACTTCGTACCCCTGAATTCAGGATGGCACAAAGGTCACCAGCTGGTGCCAGCTCCTGTGCAAAGCCATAATGTGTAGATGTCTCAAAAGCAATGCCAGTGGTTCGGAGAAGGGCGCGGTGTGAGGAGAGGCAGAGAGCAATACAGTATTCCCGCAGGAACTCGTGCCTCCCTGTCCGCTCCTTGGACATCAGCTTCAGAGCCATCGATGTTCCTGCAAACAACAACAAAATGTCAGCGGCTGGACATTAGAGGGTGCCTGGGTGCCACAGCACCAAAGGTAGTGCCCATGTCACACATAAATCTTCTGTTTAGTACTTGATACCTGCACGCGCCAGGCATTGTACCTCAATAACACAGTTCACACAGCGGCTAACCTGTAAGCCCTTAGAAGCTGATCATCCTTGGATTGGGAGAAGGAACACTCAGGTCAGAAGCTCTGGAGGGCAATTCAAACTCTGGCAACACACTTGGTTTCAGAAATTAACTGCTACATACCATTGTCTCCCCAGCAGGGGGCACTGCAAAGCTAGTTTCAAATGGTGAGGAAGATCTTTCATCTGGGTAACAGAAAAAATAATCTGTCCCTAACCTGGGTTTGGGACTCGGATTGAATCTGTTGTTCAGTGACATACTCTTCTACATTTATATGCAAATGGTTACCTCCTTCCTTCTTATTCTTACAGCTGTGAGGCTGGCTAGCTTGCTACTCGGACTGCTGCAGGCACTTGGCATCGCCAACACAGCACCTGCTGGCTGGCAGCTGCCCACACTCCTGGGATGACACAGCTAATTAATTACAG